TCTGCGATGTCTCGTCGCCGGTGGAGAGAGAGAATCTAATGGACAAAGCTCGATCCATCTTCGACGGAAAGCTCAACATTCTGGTGAGTTTCATGGTCGTCTTTGAAGTTTCAACTCTGCTTCAGAGATATACGCCATTAAAACAGAGTATAACTCACAAATCTCGATCTATACAAATGTACAAAGAGAATCTAATCGTCGGTATTGCTTCAAAGATGTTTTGCTCTCTTTTATAGATCAATAATGCAGCGATAGGCTACATAAATCCAGCGATAAAGGTCACACTCGAGGAGTACAAACATGTCATGAGTACCAACTTGGACTCTGCTTTCCATTTGAGTCAGCTCGCTCATCCTCTTCTCAAGGCATCAGCGAGAGGCAGCATCGTGTTCATCTCCTCCGTCGCAGGCTTCCTCGGCATAAATACGGCGTCCGTCTATGGAGCAACCAAAGGTTCATGCTTGTAATTGATTAGGTTCCTCTGTGAGCTCTTCACACCTGTTCACCTTATCCTTCTCCTTCGTCTTCTTCGTCAGGAGCAATGAACCAACTCACCAGAAGCCTCGCGTGTGAGTGGGCGAAGGACAACATCCGGACCAATTGCGTCGCTCCTGGTGTCATCAGGACACCGCTTGTTCGGCCGGTAACGAGGCCTTCTTCTTGATCCAAATTGCGTTCCATCAGAGTTGACACAAAAACACCTTCTTATGATTGTAGCAAATGACAACGGTTTTGCATGCTAAATACAGTTGCTGGATAACAAAGAGTTCGTAGCGAAGGAGACACGTCGGGTGCCTCTGCGGCGCTTCGGAGAGCCAAAGGAGGTGGCGGCTGTGGTGGCTTTCCTTTGCCTCCCCGCTTCTTGCTATGTCAATGGTCAAGTGATTTGTATCGATGGAGGGAAGACGATCAACGGCAACCTGTGAGTTCCATCTATCATCGATGATGACAAGTTTATTACATCTGATATGGGTTACGTACGGTTTGGGTTTCGTATGACGGGTGTTATTTAATACTAAGATGTGCTTATCATGCCTGTATGATGACTCCATCGATGTTGATGACTTTAATATATGTGCATAGTGTGATGATGATTTAGCAATTGATGACGTCCGATATCACTTGGATATATCCAATATCGCTGTATGGATCTCTACAAACGCTCTCAGGGTGATCGCCTTCTTCCCAAAGATCTCTCGAGATTAGTCGTTCCACGAACTCTTTGACTTGGTAAAATTGGCACAACTCCGTGGATGAGTTAAGAATCTTTAAATCGTCTGAAGAGGACATTTGCTTCCCGTCAGCGTCGTAAACTTCTGGGCGTTGACCCAAATCTCGTTGGCTGAATGCTTTCCTTTGGTTTAGATGTGGATGAGGAAGAAGGTGAAGAAACCAAGAAAAGGCACACTTTAACATCTAATTCTTCTCTGCGACTTTCATGCCTTGGATCCTCATCTACTTCCTCTTGATGCATCAGCTTCACTTGGAAACAAGAGAATGGATGCATCACTTGCCTTTTCCACCTCATATTATAGTTGGAATTTTCTGGCCTTCCTCATGCACAACAGAGTCATCGTTCCAACCTATGAATTTGCTTGACCGTTCTACATAGAGTTGAGGTCCACATACCTGAGCGTCCTATCGCGCACGGCGTTGAGCGAAACCCAGGAGCGACTTCATTATATAAGAGACAGGAATGCTGTAGGCCTTTCCATTGCACAAGCAATAGAGTTCTTTACGGAGGAAGGTGCCTGAGGTTGGTAGGTTGGCAGAGAGAGAAAGAAGCCATGGCTGCCAACGCAGTGCTCGATAGGTGGTCTCTTAGCGGAAGAACAGCTTTGGTTACCGGAGGCACCAAAGGAATCGGGTACGTATCTCACGCACATATACTAGTGTATGTTCTCTGAACTGAGTTCTGACTCGTGTCTGATATGCTGGCCGATGTGAATTAAAGGCATGGAATAGTAGAAGAATTAGCTAAGCTCGGGGCAACAGTCTATACCTGTGCTCGGAATGAAGCAGAGCTTAAGAAATGCCTCCAACAATGGGAGGCAAAGAGCTTCAAGGTCGCAGGGTCCACCTGCGACGTCTCCTCCCCAGTCGAGAGGGAGAAACTAATGGAGAACGTCAAGTCTGCGTTTCATGGAAAGCTCGATATTTTGGTAAGCCTCGTGGTGGTTTGATCTTTGCATAAGAAAACAAATGAAGATGGATCGAAGTGGTTTGATCTTTGTGTCACAGGTTAGCAACGCAGGAACAGGAATCATGAAACCTGCGTTGGGTGTGACCCCTGAGGAATACAAGTTCATCACGACTACCAATTTTGAGTCGGCTTTCCATCTGTGTCAGCTCGCCCACCCGCTTCTCAAGGCATCAGGAAGAGGCACCATCGTGTTCAACTCCTCCATCGCAGGCATGGTGGGCATAGATATGTTCTGCCTATATGCTGCCACTAAAGGTCTGCCTTCATCATGTAGCCGGCAATTCATCGAACAGGTTCCTTGTAATAAGCTCTTCTCAAGATCCTGTCTTCTTCTTCTCCTGCAGGAGCACTGAACCAGCTCACCAAGAGCCTTGCTTGCGAGTGGGCAAAGGACAACATCCGAACCAACTGCGTCGCGCCCGGATACATCAAGACCCCACTCATTCAAAACGTAATCTAGACGCAGAGCATTTGTTCGACGAGTGACATAAGGATTCCATCGGATACGAATGTATTAATGTTTTTGGTCTTGATGGCAGGCACTGGAAGACGAGGCGTTTGTGGCGGGGGAGACACGTCGTATCCCCATGGGGCGTCTGGGCGAGGTACAAGACGTGGCCCCGGTGGTGGCTTTCCTGTGCCTGCCCGCTTCTTGCTACGTCAATGGCCAAGTCGTTGTGGTGGACGGAGGTCGGGTTGTGAACGGCAACATTTAAGTCTCAGCCGCTGCCGCTGCTACCCCTTTTTCTTCTCCAAGACGACGAGCGCTACTCGAGAGATGCGTCCGTAGCTATTCGAATCACTCATCAAAAACACGTGTTGTCGACCATCATATGGTCATTTTTACTTTGTTATGGCTAATAAATATGTCACCGTGTTCTTAAACACAGTATGCTCTATCTTCATTAGTTCTACTGTCTATGTCAGAACAAGATCTGGTAGGAATACCTTCATCATCGCAAGGAGCTTGATGACCTTGATTGTGCTTGCGATATCGACGGGTAATAAGAAAATGAATCCGATCAGCTTCATCCATTACGTGTTGGACTAATGACATTCATCAATATAAGTCTATCATCGTTATCCATTGTGGATTCAAGTATCACCTAGTTGTTAACAAACTCTCAAACCATGATTGAGGTATCAGTATGGTTTGGTTCGACCCCCGATGCACAGGATCGTCGGTGCGGTTGATTATTAGATGGGAGCCTCTACTGAGTTAGATTGAGCTTGAGCCTCGTCTCTCGAGTGCGGTATTCTTCTTTGGCAAGTGGCTTGCTTCTTCGTCGCGAGACTCCTGAACACAGGTCGAGGTCGGTAGGAAGATTTTCTGACTCGATCCATTTGAAGGTTAAGTTAGTATTGGGAGAAGTTTTTCTAAAAAAAAAGAATTCTCCTACCTAATGCCGATCAAGGAGCTTTTATACTTGTGAGCGAAGATCAATTGTACGTGATCTAATGATGGTGACCGGCTTGAACCTCTGTACGAGTGCCGACCAACCTACACGAAACGACACCGTGCGATACCGTTTCAAGCTTTTCCGAAGTGGCTCTGTACCGTATGACGTTGTCTCGTGCAGATTCAGACGATGCAGGAAGGGTATGACGTTGTCTCGTGCAGATTCAGACGATGCAGGAAGGGTATGGCGTTGTCTCGTGCAGATTCAGACGATGCAGGAAGGGTATGACATTGTCTCGTGCAGATTCAGATGATACAGGAAGGGGCGATCGTCCTCCCGAGTTCGAGGTGACACATCCGATGCGATGCTCCATCTCAGTCTCGAGGCTCCACGTCCACGTTAGCATGTTTGCTGATTGTAGCCAGCGGGGTGATACCATAATATGCCCTATCACTAGTTAATAGCATGGATCACTAATAATTGCACGAAACAATTATTAATATTAAAAATATACAATTTGATGTTGGTGTATATAAAATAAGATAATATAAAGTATGAACCAAAAGCTGTACTGGCACGTCATACCACGTGCAGGCGATCGGAGCCATGTCTAAATTAATAGCATGGATCACTAATAATTGGACGAAACAATTATTAATATTAAAAATATACAATTTGATGTCGACGAATATAATATAAGATCATATAAAGCATGAACCAAAGCTTGAGTAGCACGTCATACCATGTGCCGGCGACCGGTGATAGAAAAGATAATGAAAAGGAAGGAGAAGCTCGGTCAGCTCGGCAATACCAATTAGTATTTACTGGTTCGAACCGAACGTTTAACGATCGAACCAAACCGATTTCTGGTTCGGTTGATATCGGAATCGATTCTAGTTTGGATCTATCAAATTAGTTCAAAATATATTAACCTGATTCGATTAATCAATTTATAATTAAAAAAATTAATAATATATATTTTTAAATGAATTCATTCGATTCAATTTAATCGAACCAGAGTCTTGGTTCAATCGGACCGATAAATTTCGTGAAATTACGGTTTGATCTTAGGAATTTTAGAATTTTTGAGGTATTTGGATCGGTTCGATTTGATTAATGACTTAAGATAATAAATTCGATCGAACTAATATTTTTTGAATTAAGATCGGTCTGATTTGATTCAAAATAATTAATCGAATCATACAAAAGTCCTCTCAAATCGAAACTATCTATGAATTATTGATGAATTCTGTTCGAACACTGTACAGATATTATTATCAATTTATTCAATAATATCGGATCGGAAAAATCTTTCAATCGTTCAAAGTCATACCTTCACAATCACGTGGTACCACGTGACATGAGATGAGCCTTATCTAAACTATGACGTGGCACCAGATGTGACCCGAAAGATGACGAAAGCCATGAGAGTTGATTTATTTGATGTATGGTCGACGATTCTTTATGCCTGTTCATTGACAGTGAAGAAGTTCCATGGTCTGTCGGCCGAAGGAGAGGAGACAACTATGCAGGATGAAGCCGATTTCAGGGCCAACAGCAGAGAAGATAGATGGTCTTTCCGTGCGACAACAGCTTTGGTCACCGGAGGCACCAAAGGGATCGGGTATTTGTAACATCTGCTCTTCAAACTTCATCACGTGGATCACATCGCCACAGTTCACGAGTGCTAATTCATGTTAACCTCACAGGCATGCCATAGTCGAAGAGCTAGCTAGGTTTGGAGCAGCCGTCCATACCTGCTCTCGCAACGAAGCAGAGCTCAGCAGATGCTTACAAAGATGGGAAGCCATGAACCTCAAGGTCACAGGGTCCGTGTGCGACGTCTCCTCTCCGGTTGAGAGAGAGAAACTAATGGAGGATGTCAAGTCCATCTTCCATGGAAAGCTCAACATTCTGGCGAGTCGAGTCTCGTAGTTGACCTTAGAATGAGCGTAACATGGACCGTAATCGGTTTGCTGTTTGCGTAGGTCAACAACGCAGGAACGGGCTTTCAGAGACGGGTGACGGACGTGACTCCTGAGGACTTCAAGCTGCTGACGAGTACCAACTTGGACTCTGCCGTCCATTTGAGCCAGCTCGCTCATCCTCTTCTCAAGGCATCAGGAAGTGGCAACGTTGTGTTCATCTCCTCCATAACAAGCCTCGTCGGCATCGATACTCTAGCCGTCTATGCGGCAACCAAAGGTACGCACTCGATAAATTGGTTCCCCTATGAGCTCTTCAACATGCAACCACTTATCATCTGCTGCTGTTGGCTTCTTCTTCGTCTTGTTCAGGCGCAATGAATCAGCTCACCAGGAGCCTCGCTTGTGAGTGGGCGAAGGATAACATCCGAGCAAACTGCGTTGCGCCCGGTTACATCAGGACGCCACTCATCGAGCCGGTAATGGACGCCAACTTAGCGACGTTTAGTTTCCCTTCGAATCACTGTGTCTACTAAGTAGCATATATGTGTGAGTCACAGTTATGCGAAAACGAGGAGTTTGTGGCGAAGGAGACTAATCGTATCCCTCTTGGACGTCTGGGTGAGGTCGACGACGTGGCACCGGTGGTCGCTTTCCTCTGTCTTCCTGCTTCTCGCTATGTCAATGGCCAAGTCGTGGTTATCGACGGAGGTCGAACTGTGAACGGCAACCGGTAAGCTTCCGGCCGGTAGATATAACAGCGAGTATAGTTGAAGAAATCTTATCTGCTGTAATGTGTGCCGGCGATACCTTTCTAAATATTCGAAACGATGTGTAACATTAATTATATATTTCCAATGGTGTGTAAATTAATTAAGATGCTCGGAGACATTGATGCGTGCAGAAGCAGACAGTCGTGTCGCTTCGCCAATCGAGATTGCCGATTGGGAATTCCAATGGCCAGAAATTAGAGCTGAGTTTTGAGATTCAACTTGCAAGGAACCTTTCGTCCCATCGGAGGCATTTTAGATTATTCAATGTCGTATCAGATTGTACTATAATTGATAAAGGAAAGGGTGCTCGATGCGACCGCTATGATGATATGTCATTATACTTTCGAAACGAATTAGGTAACAGAGAGGAAGAATGGTAGACTTTACGATTCATTCTAACCATAAATGACTATAAACATGATAATTTTTTTACTTTGTGAATTTGGAGGCTAATAATTTTTTTATCAATATTTTTCGAAGGTTAATTATAAATTATCTTTTGTAATTATTTTTCTCTTAGTATTTCAGTTTATGTATTTTTAAAACTTATAATGGAATTCCTATAATTACAAAAGTAAAAAATTTAACTTTGTTTCTCCCATTGATTCGGTTGATTGAAATACTACACATACGTCAAATTGAGGTAGAGTCAATGTGCATAGTAATAAATTATTGGATATTTTCATCGATAGAGTTAACATCATATACGAAGAAATGAGGTTAAATATTTTACTTTCATAAATATAAAAAATAATTTAATTTTTAAAAATATAAAAAAATTAAAATACTGAAAATAATTAATTACATGAGGTAATATATAATTAATTCTGACTATAAGCATCTTATGATGATTTTTTATCTTATAAAAATATTTGAAGAGTATTTTTTATTTAGATATCGGATTTAACGGTGATTTGTTTTTTAGTTTTTAATTTATTTAGATGTCAGTTGATTTGACGGTGATTTGTTTTTTATTTTTTTAAAGGAGACCGGATACTTTGTGGAGCAACGAGGCAGAGAGAGAGAGAGAGAGAGAGAGAGAGAGAGGAAGTGGGTGGTGGAGGAAATCCACATGCGAGATGATAGAGCATTGAAGGCTTAGGTTAAGGATCTCACAATCCTTTGCCCATCTCATAGCGACGAAGTTTCCGAGTATGTCATATTTATCTACAGAAATAATAATATAATTTGGAAAATGTGTGTGGACACGACTTCTATTGATCCATTCTGCATACAGTTTCCACATCTTAGCTATAAATGGATTGAAGTAGGAAGAAACAAAGAAGAAGGAGGAAACCAATGGACGGTGGCGACCACAAGTGCGGAGATAACCAAGCGGTGGGGAGATGGACTCTTGTAGGAACTACAGCTTTGGTCACCGGAGGCACTAAAGGAATCGGGTATCGTCATCTTTCTTCATACATTTGCTCATCCACCTCACAGCACAAACAAGTTCATACTGAAATCTGGAGTCTAATTCGTGCCGAAATTAAGGAGCTTATGTCCATCTTATTATGAGGTTTTCTCTTCCGTTCTTTTATGGTGATCAGACATGCCATAGTAGAAGAACTAGCGAGATTTGGTGCAGCCGTCCATACCTGCTCTCGAAACGAAGCAGAGCTCAACGAGTGCTTGCAACAATGGAGAGCTTTGAACCTCAAGATCACCGGCTCCGTCTGCGACGTCTCATCTGACGTCGAGAGGGAGAAACTGATGCAGACTGCGAACTCCGTCTTCCATGGAAAGCTCCATATCTTGGTGAGATTGTCGGCCGACTTAAGCGTCAGCATTTAATCCATCCGAAGAAGATGATAACGCATCTACGCTTCTTCCTCATCCTCGCTGATGCTCGTGGTGTAGGTAAACAATGCCGGGACGTTGATTTGTAAACCGGTGGTGGAGCATACCCCAGAGGACTACAGACGTATCATTAGCACCAACTTGGACTCTGCCTTCCATCTGAGCCAGCTTGCCCATCCTCTTCTCAAGGCGTCAGGAAGAGGCTGCATCGTCAACATCTCCTCCGTCAGTGGCTTCGTCGCCATCGATTCTGCATCCGTCTATGCAGCAACTAAAGGTTACATGTCACAGACACAACCGTCTCGCATCACGAATCTAATAGTACTTTTCTTCTTCTTCTTCTTTCTTCAGGAGCACTGAACCAGCTGACGAGGAGCCTTGCTTGCGAGTGGGCAAAGGACAACATTCGAGTTAACTGCGTCGCTCCCGCGTACATCAGAACTCCACTCATTCAGACCGTAATGGTTCTATCTGTTCTCCCTCCTGAATAGGAATCATCAAAACCTCGTGAACTCTTCTTCCTCCTCCTCGTACTGCATGGCTGTGTGACGCACCAGTGTTTACAATCTCAACAGCTATCCGAAGACGAAGAGTTCGTAGCGAGGGAGGCTCGTCGCGTTCCTCTGGGGCGGCTGGGTGAGCCAGAAGAGGTGGCGGCCGTGGTGGCTTTCCTCTGCCTCCCCGTTTCCGACTACGTCGATGGCCAAGTCATCATCGTGGATGGAGGTCGGACTGTGAACGGCAACAATTGAAGTCTCCATTACCACACGATTGCTGCCATCTATGTTGTTCCGAGAAGCAATACCATCAACATAGTTGTGCTTGGTGTGGTCGTAATAGGTAATGCATTCCCGTTCTAAATAAGATAGCCATCTAAAGAATCTTTCTCGGCACAATAAAGCTATTTCGATCATGGCAATATCAAATGCAGTTCCCAATAGATTCCTTGATATGTTGCCAAGCAATCACTGAGTCAACATATCCCAGCTGGGCTACCGACACTGCCCAAACAGATATATGCAATCAGTGAGACTTGAAACTGAATTATCAGCACATAACGATATACAATGAATGATTATATGTGGGGGAATAAAAAAGGACAAGTGAGCATTTCGTATAAAAGGCTCATATTTTTTGACTACTTACCGAGAGACTATAGTTTGTTAAAATACGCAGAATCCCTTTATATAAAAAAATTTATTTTCTCGACAAAAATCGGCCAATTAAATCGAATGGGACCGATCACAGTAATATATATTTTTTAATTAGTAGCCAAAATAAGGATTATAGTTTTATTTTTGTTACTGAATCAAAAATACTATACCTAATTTATTAAAATAAAATATTTATAACTTCATAAAAAAAAATACTATGAATATTTAGAAAAGATAGAAACTTTATTATGAGAAATATAAAAACATTGGATACTATCTTGGAGAAGCTCAAAGTAGGTTTTGCCTGTAAATCACCAAATAAGTAAAATAAAAAAAAGAAAAATACTAGTTTTAGACAATTGGAGCTTTTGGGTTGAAAGTCATAATGACAACCATAAACGAATAGGAATTGCTACGGGCATTAAGATTGGTAAGAAGGAGTCGAGCATCTTTTTTCTTAATACAATGTCATAATTTGAAAGCAAAAAAAAAAAATAAAACAACAACAAAGTAGACAAGGAAAAGAAAATGCAACAGGGAGCCGAGCCTCAAAAAGTAAGAAGAACTTGATACTAGAAAGAATTTGTTATAAATGAGATAATTTTATCGAGGTAATATATATTTATACATGTTGTGAGAAAGAAAGTTTACTTAATCATATGTTCAAATTATGCATTCAAATCATATCTTCAAATTATAAATTAATTAAAAATTAAAAATATAAAATTATCATTTCATATTTACCTATATCATGTGGATTGTGAAGTTAATCCACATGGGAGATTATAGAGCATTGAGGGCTAAGTTACTGATGCCACAATCTTTTGTCCATCTCATACCATACCAACGAAGATTCGGAGTCAGTCATATTTATCTACAGAAATTACAATGTAATTTGGTAAATGCGTGTGGCACCACTGCAACTATTGACCCAATCTGCGTACTATTTCCACACTTACAAATCGAGAGGACTGAGATCTGGATTGAAGTAGGAGAAAGAAGAAGCAGAAGGAGGAGGAAAACAATGGAAGATGGAGACCAGAAGTGCGGAGATAACCAAGCGGTGGGGAGATGGACTCTTGTAGGAACGACAGCTTTGGTCGCCGGAGGCACTAAAGGAATGGGGTATCGTCATCTTTCTTCATACATCTACTCATCTACTTCACAGCACAGACAAGTTCATACAGAAATCTAAGGTCTAATGCCTGCCGAAATGAAGTAGCTTATGTCCATGTCTATTATGAGATTCTTTTCTCACTTCTTTTATGGTGATCAGACATGCCATAGTCGAAGAGCTAGCTAGGTTTGGAGCAGCCGTCCATACCTGCTCTCGGAACGAAGCAGAGCTCAGCAGATGCTTGCAGCAGTGGAGAGCTTCGAACCTCAAGGTCACAGGGTCCGCGTGCGACGTCTCCTCTCCAGTTGAGAGAGAGAAACTAATGGAGAATGTCAAGTCCATCTTCCATGGAAAGCTCAACATTTTGGCGAGTCGAGTCGAGTCTCGTAGTTGACCTTAGAATGAGCGTAACGTGGACAGTAATGGGTTTGCTGTTTGCGTAGGTCAACAACGCAGGAACGGGCTTTCAGAGACGGGTGACGGACGTGACTCTTACAAGCTGCTGATGAGTACCAACTTGGACTCTGCCGTCCATTTGAGCCAGCTCGCTCATCCTCTTCTCAAGGCATCAGGAAGTGGCAACATTGTGTTCATCTCCTCCATAACAAGCCTCATCGGCATGGATACTATAGCCGTCTATGCAGCAACCAAAGGTACGCACTCGGTAACTTGGTTCCTCTATGAGCTCTTCAACATGCAAGCGCTCATCATCTGCTGCTGTTGGCTTCTTCTTCGTCTTGTTCAGCAATGAATCAGCTCACCAGGAGCCTCGCTGTTGGGTCCAGCCCATAGGTGAGCTTGGACCGATTGATTTGGGCATTGAGCCCAAATTCGATGTATTTAAGAAAAAGGAAAAAAATGAGGTGCGCGACGTGAGTAGGGTAGCGAACGTGTTCATGAGCCGAGAAAAGAAATAGAGAGAGAAAATTAAGATTGTGAAGAATCTTGTTACAATCTTAATACTATCGATATACTGTTTATTCTCTTTAAGATGCTTTTTTGCTATACCTATTTGGTATGATCTAAAATTTTTCTTTCATAAAATTCAGATGATGATGATATATTATTATTGAGCCAAAATATATGATCTTGATGTTATTATGATCCTCTGATTATTATGAAGAAGAGTTATTATAAACATGATGATAATGGATATTTGAATTGGAATACGGTCTCATGATTTTTCTCGTATTTGATTTTTTTACATAAAAAATTTGATGTCTCATAAAAAATTATTCCACC